ATCCAAATCTTTATATTCTTGCTCTGATTCTTTTTTTCTACGTTCACAATTACACGTTCTGCTGAAATAACTTGTTCCAGAAAGAATGTAGAGTAGGATACAAGATACAACCTAGGTTAGCCAGTGGAAGGGGAAAAAGGGTATACAACATTTATTATGCAAAAATTTATACACTGAAACCTGGGCTCCAAAGGCATCAACAAGAATGGTCAAGAGTATATCCAAGAAACTTTGTAAGCGTAAGCACAACATGAACACTTGCTATGAGAGGTGCACCAATACATCAGTCCGATATCAGATTGGCACTGAATTAAAGAAAATTGACTGTGTTGGACATTAGCTTTTTTTTTGCCTGATATGGATGATAATTTGGCCAATTTTAAATGACCTGTGCATGTGCACAGCTGCAGCACAGCACCTGGGTGGCAAGGAGCACAGCCTGGCAGCTTGGAGAGCTGTGTACAGCTAGTAAGTCTCTTATGGTGGAAGGAGAAGGGGGAGGGGAAGAGTGGGGGGAGGGGTCGATCAAGGCCCCTATGGTGAGGGAGTGGGGGTGGGGCAAGTGCTGCCCAGCTGACATGGGGTGAGGCACAGGACAGAGCCATGGCTCATCTGGGGGCCACGGGGGGACAGCTCCAAGAGCTGCACACACCCCAGGAGGGCATGAGGGGCAAGTGCCCCCAGATCTGCATGGGGCAGGCTGCCACTGCAGGCTGGGCCTACGGCTGCACCGGGTTCTTCCTGGCAGAGAGGTTGGGCCAGGCTGGGCTTGGGGCAGGCAGCAGCGCTAGGAAAGGGAGGTTGGGAGGGCTATGGCCCCTCCCCCTCCCAGCATTGCCACTGCCCACCCTGAGCCCAGCCCAGCCCCAGCCTGCCTTCACCCCACGCAAAGATCCAGGGACACCCCCATGCCTTACCAGTGTGTGCACAGAAGCAAAAACCACCCTCTCAGCACCGCCCCTCCCAACGAGCCACAACTGGGCAGCCTCTACCCCAACCCCACTCCTTCCCTCACCGTGGGGGGCCTCAATCTGCCACCCCACCTTCCATATCCCTTCCATCACAACAGACTTACCAGCCAGACACTGCTCTTCAAAGCTGCTGGTCTGTGTATTGGAAATCGGATCAGTACTGGCTCCTTAAAAACTGGCTATCTGTATTGGCCCCAGAAATCTATTGGTGCACCCCTACTTGCATCAATCTGAAAGGCAATCTCCCCTAGAGTGCTAGTCACACAGACTATATATTCAAATTATCAGGAATAAAAACTGCCTTTTAACAATGTCCAGTTGGCTAAAATAATGCTGCTTGCACATGTTCAGAGATTCATTTCAAGGTACAATACAATATGGGGAAAAAGGGTGAGAGATCAGGTTTTGTTTTTTTGCAAGCTATCAGTATTGATCTCTAGAACATGGAACTATTCTGAAACATCACTAGCAGGAAGTTTGTGGCCCTGAAGACTATATACTGATCTCACAAAGAGTATCAACATATTATAAGTCAGTGGTTTTCAGTCTTCCTAAAGTCACTGAAGCCCTTCATATCACTTCTGTCATAGAACCCCTCTCTGCAGGCCACAGGACCTGATGCAGGGTCGGGCAACCCAGCCCAGCAATGGCAGCACACAGCCTTCTGGCCACGATTACCCTCAATCTCTCTGCAGAATCCTTGATGATGTGCTGTGGAACCCTAGGCTTCCACAGAACACAGCTCAAAAACCACTGCTATAAATATCAAATACAGCTCTAACTGTATCAGTACCCTGAATGAATGGGGAAAAAGGAACCACAAAATAAAACTAATGGATAATGCGACTTTCTTTGAAATAAACCCATTGTATTGTTAACTCTGGAATAAAAGAATGGTGGTTCAAATTGGCATAACTGTTCAATAAGGAAAAAAAGTAATTATTTTGACATGCTCAACTAACCACTGAAATGCATCATAACAAGGTATTATGGAAGACAATTTTAGCATAATTCAATAAGTGATGTATATAAATAAGAAAAATATGCAGCACTATAAGAATACATGTGGAGAGGCATGTGGTACTGACTGCTGTAGAGGATGGGGCACTAGAAGAGATGGATAACTGACTTACTACTACAAAGGAAATAAAACAATTATCAGAAATTGTATTTTGCTAGAGTGCAAAAGAAAGAAATAATTAAATCTAAGGAACATGAAGTATCATCCTATAAACACCTATTACAGAGAATGAAGATAAACTGAGTAGCTGGTTGCCTGAGAACCATTATTAGAAAAATCTCATATTAAGTAGTGAAACCTATCTTTGTCAGTATGTCACCATGCTTTAAATCTATTATACCTACTTGTATATTACATTGACCTCCCGTCCTTCCTCCAGTATATTCCCCATGCCAGCTTTATTATATGTAAAGAATAGACATAACTAAGGACAACATACACATCTAGTTAACAGAACTATCAAGAGAATCTGGTTGCTCCAACTTATAGTTGAGAAAACAGCTGGAAAACTGCTATGACAGTTCCACTCTAGTCAAAATTGCTGCAATTTAGAATTAATGCAGTTCTTCTAAACCAAGCTAATAGTTGCTATTGGTCACATCTACACATTGCCCTATAGTGATGTTACTGCTCAGTAACTGCCCATACTGCATCATATGTGTGGTTATTTTTAGCAGCTGCTTCACCACAGCAGCGCGCTATAAACGGGGGGGCGCACCATTATGGTGAAATAGCTGCTGGTCACATGTAGACACCTGTAGATGATTCAGGATCACATGTAGACACACTTATATATCGGTAGAAGCCTAGCTCCATCCTTCTTTTAAAGAAGTTTCTGCATGTAATGATCCTATACTACATAAGACTAACTGTAAAGGTATCTGTAACCCCAAATTATTTTTCCTAGGAGAACTGTACTACTTCCTTTGCCTGTTTTGATAGAGCAATTACTTTCCCTACATTAAAACAGGGTGCTATGTAGTCAAAAAAATTTCCATCTTCATCTTTATGGCTCACTCAATTTTAAACTATATGTATATCTGAAAGAATGGAAGGAAACAACAACCTTAGCTGCTATAAACTTAATAAGGAGAATGCCCCGAGTTCAAAACTTCACTGTGAACACTAGTAGATAAAATATATCTCCCTTTCTTTATATTATAAAAAGAGGGAAGGAAGTGGGGAAGCAAGTCCATTCTATTAGGTTTCAATCAGTAGCTTTGTAATCAGCATCATATTTCTAGCATTTACCAGTTTTCACCTGTGAACTGATATTGTCGGTCCACTTTTCTTTGCAAATTGCACATTGGATGGAATGAGAATGCAAAAAATAGTCTGATAAGGGAAATCCCTCACCATGGTCTTCAAATAAGTGTCTGTAACAGGAACACATGACATTTATGTATCCCATCAAGTTCATTTATGAAATGTTAACGTTTTATTTTCAGAGCCTTTTAGTTTTCCGTTAGTGCACAACATGGGCTGTATTTACAATAGTGTTTCTGGAGCTATTCTACCAATGTAGCTCCACAAATACAAGTGATGATGAAAACACTAACTGTAGAGAGAGCAAGCTGGATTAGTGCCATCAGTTCATCTAATGCTGCTCTCAGTAAAACTACATAAAACAATGGTAAAAAGAAAAGGCAATAAGCAGCGTAGAGTTGCACATTACTGACTAAATCAGAGGTGCGTAAGCTTCCATAAGCAACAGCTTACTTCATCAGGACACGTGATTCCTGCCTGGTGCTAGTGCTTGGAGATTTCCAAAGCTAGGAAACCTTTCTTTCTCCAAACCCAACATGCCGGTAATGTTAGAGCAGTGGTTCTTAACCTTTTTCATACCAGGATCCATTTGTAAACATAGATGGACTGTCCCAACCCAGTGCCCCTCACTCCTGACTCCCTGCCCCCAGGCCTCAGCACCCCAGTGTGTGGGGCAGAGGGTGTGTGTGTGGGGCAGGGGGGGCCCAAGCAGCCCCTCACAGGCTGAGACTCTGCCAGCCTACAAGGGAAATGCCAGTTTCTCACATTTTTCTCCTTTAAATGAGAATTCATTTTTAAAGTGTGTTGATTCATTTTAGTTTATTCACGACCCTTTCATATACTCTTGGGACCCACTTTTGGGTTGTGACCCATGGGTTGGGGAACATCCTTAAAGAGGACCTAGCTCTGCAAGGGACAGAAATCTGCCCTGATCTAACCTCAACTGCTTTTAATTTGTCTTGTGTTTCTGTGGGAGGGAGACGCATGTGGAGCCCATGGACCCAAAGCAGCAAGGGGGAGGCAAAGGCTGCACCTGAAAGTATCAGACTGCTGAGAAAGAGAGACACCCACGACCCCCTTTTTCCTCCTCTCAGACAGCTCACTCAGTATCCCCCCCCCCCACACCCTTTGCAAACACCTGAACCTCTTAAACACCCCTGCAGGCACCCACCCCATGCACTTCACCCCCAATACCCATTCGCCACACCCACACGCCTAATGAAGCCACCCCTCCCCCCTCAGCAGCAGCCACCGCCGCCTGCTCCGCCCTGCCCCTCCCCCCGCGGGGCCGAAGCGAGGCCCCTG